GTCGGGTCTGCACGAAAGTGAGCAACGAGCTTCTCCTTTTCTTTAATTTTTTTCCGCCGAGACGTTTTGATGGAACGTTGGTTCAAATTTCTTTATAGGATCCCGTGTTCGTATCAGCTCATGAACGTTGTGCTCATGTTACTCCTGATTGCCTGGTACAATCTTATATGGTTTGCGAAGATCATGATAAAGTCAATACAATCTGGTCTTTTATTGTTAATAACAAAAAGTCGAAAACGATTGTATTCGTCTCCAGTTGCAAACAGGTTGGTTGAAGCAAATTCTAGTTCATGGTTTATAAATGCTTCTCGAGAGGTGGTAGAATTCAGGTCGGTGTTCGGCTTGGGACGGGCATTTTGCAGTATCGCTTGTTAGCCCTGCTAGTTCATGTTGGCTACAAGCCTTTTTTGGTAATACTTGTACGCCTGTGTAGCTGCAAAATGGTACAAGTGCCACTTTGTTTACCAAGTGTAGAGGTTTTCACAAGGTGGCCTGTACAGACTTCACTGAGTACCCCTTGTCGCCACCACCAAGCCGAACTGTGTCGCTTTGGCATTAATGATTTCCTATTGGTTAATTTATTGGAGCCATCATATTTCCTGTTCGTGTGTTTCATCGGTGACTGAGCTCAATCCAGGAAATGGAGCCTTCTTTCCTTCCTTACAAGACCCATCTCATTAGTAATTTGAGCTATTGCACTAATTTGTTGAGCTCTAAGTGATCTAGTGGTTAGTTTAAACCTCAGACGATAGCTAGGAACGTTCAGTTCTTTGGGGTAGTGGTACTCCTCCAAAGGAATAACAATTGGTTGAAAGTTGTCCGGGTTAGGGAATCCGCCATCTTACCCATTCAGGGTTAGGCGAGAAAGGGGAATCGTTATAACTTGCCCTTACACCTATGAACGACATTTCCGTTTTTCTCTCGATTTTGCTGCAGTTTTCTATGTCATTAAGGCGCGTTTCCTAACTGGAGCTTTCTGTCATCTCCGCCCTGGACTACCTGTCATGGGATTGTGGGGCACCATGAACCAAAAGAAGCGTATCGATGTGTTCCAGAAGTTTGAGAACAAAGAGGTACTATTTCCAGCTTCATAATCATATTATTTTTGTAATATGGTGATTCAGTGCTACTAATAGTGTGATGTTGGCGTTCTTTTTACATTAGTGCATTCAATAGTATTCCTTTTAGGCAGCTGTTATGATCGCTACTGATGTCGCAAGTCGCGGACTTGATTTTTCTGATGTTGACTGGGTTGTTCAAGTTGATTGTCCTGCATCTGTGGAAGATTATATTCATAGGTAGCTGTTGTTACACTATTTCTTTACCTTTAACCAACTATTATTATTTCTCATTCAGAGTGGGTCGGACAGCTCGAATGAATCAGACTGGACATGCCGTTCTCTTTTTGACTTCTTCTCAAGAACGACCTATGGTAGCAGCGCTAGCTCAGGCTAATATTCCCGTGACAAAACAAATGTGGGTTTATACTTTGTGAAGTGGTGGGTGTTGGGCCCTAATATACCTCGGAGGGGCATCTAAGGGACTCCCTGATGTCACACGAATAGAATTGTCCTATTTGAAAGTGGTTCATCCTTCATCCTTCAGGCTTTTTTAGGCAAAATTGCTCGTATGCTTTGTGGTAGTTCCAGTTTTGCCCATGAGCCCTTGAGGTGCCGCTCGCCCCTTCGGCCGGGGGGGGGGGAGTATTAGCGCCAGATGTTAAAATATGAATTTTAGAGCAGATCCAAGGGCACTGGTCGATATCAGGACAAAAATGCAAGCAACACTTTCTCAGTTTCCTGAACTTAATCAGTTCGCACAAAAGGTTGTTGTTTCTTCAAAACTCACAAATTTTCTTGGAGTGCCAGTGACTGCTTTGAGCGTTGTCGTCTGTATTTGACAAAACGATCCAGGCAGTTACTGTAATATATTTTGTGCTAGTGCTCAAGATGTGTTCTTTTTTCTATTCATAGATTCTATTTCCATTCAGAGCGTTGTTGCTTACCTTCGAAGCATATACATGATGCGAAACAAAAAAGTCTTCGACGTCACTACTGTCGACGCAGCTGCATTGGCCGCATCTTATGGCCTTGTTACGGTTCCAAGAGTTCGGTTTTTGAGCAAAAAAGGAATTTCTGTGAAGGTATTACCGTTAGAACTGTTTTAATCTGTAGGGGTTGATGGCCGCAGTCCTCCAGGGGCACCACATATCACTACGTAGCCGCAGTATTATATGCCGTTCTTGATTTTCTTGTTCCTAGTTCCCGCTTCGCTTACTTTTTTACAATCTCAATAGAGTGTTGACTTTAGTGAAGAGAATGTCGTATACTCACAAAAGTTGAAAGGATGGGCTTGCAACTCGAATTTATCCCTTATGATTACTTATGGTGTTTTTCATCACTGGTTCTGTGAAATCCTTGTGATATACATTTAAGGGCACGAAAGATAAAGAAGGCGTTTGTGAGAAGGAAAAGAAATCAGCGACATCTAAGTCTTCAAAGAGCAATGCAGAAGAAGAGGTACGTTGTACAACAACTCTTATTGCCTGTCATGAGCCGTAGAGATGTTTTAATAATGTTGCTGACGGGGTGGGGGTATTTCTTCAATTGTGGGTCACACCCATTTTCAGAACGGTATGTCTCCGGTGGGAGGTGCACAGAGGTGTAATTCTCAATAGCAGCACGCTTGAGGGACCACCAGAGAAGAGGGCATATCTTGTTTTTTAACTGTTTATCTTATTACCGATACTAATTAAAGTAAAGTAAAGAAAAGGCCCGAACTGTAGGGTATTGATTTCAATCCCCTAGATGACAAAGTTTTGCATTTTTGCGGTTTTCCGTGGGTTCAAATGAATCTTAAACTTTTGTCCGAACAGAAACATGTCCAAATACGCGCGGTTTTTTTTTGTCAGAAAAGTACCCCTTAGTCTCCTGTTGGCGCTCCTAAGAGGGCGAAACGAGTGTACGTTTGAAACCTCCCCCTCCCCACGAACCTCTATCCCATGCAAGAAACCGTTTCGAAAAAGGGCTCCACGATCTGAAAGACCTCTCTTGTGAGAAGTACCTCATTGTACTAAGGGCGCTAAGCAGTACCGAAGGTTATGAATGTTCTAGCAACGTACGACAATGGGGAGTTTCGATTTCGATGACGAGAACGATGATATTTTTGTGGTGAAGAAGAAGGACGTGTTCAGTTTACTCGACGAGAACGCAGAATCTGTGAGCTCCGCTTCCATTTATTGTCGTTTGAGCATATTTACTTGACTACAAGTGTTTCTGTATACTGTCATTAAAGCTTTTGATAGTAGTGATGTCACAACTTTTCATTTTTTTTCAGACAGATGCTCAACAGCAACCTACAATTAGAAATAGCAAGAACGTAAAGGTGGTGACTAAAATGAGTGCTGCTAAGAAGCTGCTGAATAAAAAACTGAAAGTCAACGTGAGGAAGCTTTTCGACGAAGAAGGGGAACCGATGAAGGTACAACAAAATCTTCGTTCGAACTAATATGAGCGGTTTCTTCAATGAAGTTATTTCTAGGTGGACGGCGTAGTAGATAAGGGTGAGAGTGTAGGCTTGGATCTTGACTCTGCCAAAGAATCCATCAAGCAAAGCAGTGTGGTATGTCTCTGTAATTTGTTCACTTCATTCCTCTATTTTCATTTCGCCTTTTTTTCTAAATTTGTACAACATTTCCTTTCCATATCAAGTTTGTTTACGTTTGCCTATTGTTATTATTCGACGGGAATTTTTCATTCAACTGAAGTTTACAGGAGGATCGAAAACGACACAAAGCGTTGTTGAAGCAAAAGAAAAAAGAGGAGAAGGAGCGCTTGAAAAGAAAACGGAGTAGAGACAAGTAAGTGTTATTATTCTTTCTGATCAATGGGTAATAATAAATGGTTTACAGGGGAGAAGATGTGGACTTGGGTGAAGGAGGAAGTGGAATTGACAGTGATGCGGATCTGTCATTTTTGCCAGATCCCGATGAAGTGCGGAAACGATATGCAGAGCAAGGTGAGTCGCAGTAAGGCGCTTCCGCTGAATAGTTTTTTCAAAAGCAATGGTGAATTTGCATA